CAGTGGAAGGAGCTGCCTGTGTTGAGGGAGCCGAATCCCACCCCCCCTGCTCACGGGGCCTTGGGGTGACGCCCCCGCCCACCGCAGTGGCTGCTGCGTTAGCCCCGTTTGACTGGGGGCTACGTCCAAGCCCTGGCCTTGCTGTGGGCACTGGACAAAACACACCCGGTGGCTTCCCTTGCTTCTCTGCCCCGTTAACGTGAGAGAAGACAGACCATGCAGGAATGTTCATTTAGCCCCTGGAAGATGGAAACCGTGGCACTGCAGCTCACAGCTTCCTAAGTGCAATGTGAACGGTAGGGGGTGTAGCCCCTTTTGAGCAACTGAAGCTGTGATGCAGTTTATTGCTCTCCTGGGATTATCCTAGAATATGATAAGGGTCGCATCAATTCAGTGGTGCTCCTCCCTAAGCAAAGCAATAAAAAGAATGGGGAATTTTTTCCCCCCCCGCTTTGGGAATCATCCTTTTTTGGAGAAGTATAAAATTGGAACCATCAAAATCATAAAACGGAAAGGTTAATCAATCATTCCCCGAAACCGAGGAGGATTGGAAGGTGTTAGGTCAACCACAGTTCTTAAGTAACTAAATCTGGATTTGTTTTCAGCCACTTTAACACACAATCTTGTGTTGGTTTTGCCAACGCTGCTATGGTTCTCTATCATGCGAGAGTATCCATTCCAAAATTCAGTTCTTCCCCCTTGTCCTTTTGACAGATTTGATGTATTTCTCCTCATTAGCTTCTATTAATTAAATCCAAGGACTTTAGATTAAGAAAAAAGATGGAAGCTGAGAAAGCACAGACACAGCCTGTGAAATGGAGTAACATTCTACCTCTTCTACACTTATACCACGGTTAAAATAAAATTAGTTCTGTAGAGGAATTTGCCCTTTCAGTAGTGGAACATAATCCCTTACCCATGTGGATGCTGGGATAAATCGGTACCTGTTTACAGGAGAGAGGAGTCGCCATCCATTCTGTGGCATGCCCAGGGGACAGCTTGGAACAGCAGCTGCATCTTCTTGTAGAAAGCCTGAAGACTTTTCCTGCGATTCGATCAGAACTGGCGTGGCTTTAAAGGGAGAATTGTGCAGAAAGAACAGCAATTACCTGTAGGCAAACAGTCTAAAAATTCTACCAGAAATTCTCAGCAGACACAGTACCTCCAGTACCCACCTCTTCATTCACTCCCTGATCACTTAATAAAACTGGTTTGGTAAAAAAAAGCAAGCCTCTCTTCAGTTGTGCCTCTGATGGGCGTTGGTGAGACACGTCAAGCTGGAGACGCCTGCCTTTAGAAGCCCCTGTCACTTCGTCGATGCTTATTTCCTTGCAGCGTTGGCAATAACATTCATCACAACGCTGTTCCAACTTCGCACCAGAGATCGTTGTACAAATGTTTGTCACTACGACCGTAATTTTGACACAGTTAAGATATGCTTTAGGCTCGTACTTGTCTACCCCGATCTATTTTGTCTTCACTTCAGCGTGTGCCTCGGTAGATAAGCACAAACCAGTTTTCTGTTCGTGCTATCAAAGCATCTACCTTGTCTTGATTTGACAGTGTCCTGAGATAGTTTTACTGATCCCACTACAGCAGATGCTGGATTAGTGTCATTTCAAAACCCCTAATCATTGCGAATATCTCATTTAAAAGAGCAACAGCTGGTTTTCATATCAGGTACGCCTGTGGTTTAAAACCACTGAAGAGGTCTGCTCAACGCTGGCACGCGTCTTCATGCTAGCAAAACATTTAAAAACCATTTGGCAGTCACTGTAACTTGTAACAATAAATTAAACTCTAAAATTCAACAGTAGATCTAATTGGAAGAGGCAGGGGGAGAAAGCTCAGTGGCAAAACCTCCGAGCCAGTTATTACCCACCGGTAATCCAGATGCGTAAGGTACTTCGGTTACAGACACCTGAGGGGCTGGCACGTGCGGCGCCACGCTGGTCGCAGCAGCAGGAGCTGTAGCCTTTCAGAGGAAGCCTGGACACTTACAGGTTCTCCCCATGCCCTTAACTCCTCAGTCCTAATATTTTCTTTGTATGGGAGAGATCTCATGCGTGAGCGGAGCTCCACATAGGCATCTTTAACACGTAACAAGTATAT